AAAAAAAAAAAAAAAAACTCAGCAGATAGAATTATAAATGACCTGTGAGTCGTTTTACCAGAACATACTTACACCTGCATGCATTTATAATCTGCAAAATCTTAGCCAGATCACATTGGGTTTGACAGATCCATTTGGTTTGCTCTATAGAACCCAGGGAAAATTTAAGCTCACAGTGTTTTTTCTGGTGCCCTCCCTGCTCCAACCCCATCCAGTCTGGTGCCCACCGTTGCCCAATGGGTCATCCAAGCCCAGAGGGCAAACGTTTCCTTTCAGTGTCATCTCATCTCATGTCATTGGAGATGTGTGTGGCACGGCCACAAATATTGCGAGTATCAATTCAGACAGTTCAAGGAATCTGCGTGTTGAAAACTCCCCAAAACGAGTCTTGGGTGGCAGTGGGGAGAAGACAGACATGATAAGGTCTGCGCGGAGCCGAGAACTTTCTCCGGAAAAGGAAACAGAATAGCCTCCCTCCCCAGCTCAGCTCGCACGTGCTGGGGAACTCTCTAGGGACCCCCCCACCCCCAGGCCAGAATAGCCCCTTTTAGCGCCTGCTTTCCCACTTGCTCACACTTTTAGCTGGCCTGGCTAACCCACCAGCACCCTCGGGAGCCTCTTCTTAGGTCGGTGGGGTTCCTTGAAGTTAAGAAACCCGGCTGGGCCTAGCGGTCCCCTGCGCCAGGCATGCATATTAAAGTAGACACTGCTTACAAATGTAAATACGAGCAGATTGATTAGGAAGAACATTATCGCCGGGAATGTCGCACTCGCCTGCATCAGCAATGAGGCAAATTGGGGGCAGCCTGAGCCCCGGCCACCCACGTAGAGCAGGCTTTTTTTTTTTTAACCCTGGCTCCTTCCCCTTCCTTAAAACTGAAACAAGGCCAATTAGATCCTCAAAGTAATTCATCTCTGCGTATTCAAAAAAAAAAAAAAAAGGCAGACCACAGGGAGAGAGAGGTGTGTGGGGAGAGTGGGGGGCTGGAGAGATTAAGACTGGCGCTTAGTGGGAGCCCTGGCTGCGGCTTTCCTCCTGGAACCCAAGGGATAGCATTGAGAAACTGGGACCATTCATTGCGTCGCTGAAAAGTTAACCCACCCAACGGCGGGAGGCAGGAGCGCCAGGCGGCGTTCGGAACGTTTAGGAATTAAGTCTCAAGTGAGGGAACAGCAAGCAGCCTGAGTGCTCCCCACCAGCACCACCACGAAGGTGGTGGGCACGACGCGCCTTGGAACGGCCGCCGGAAGGGGCAGGGACACAGAGCCACGCAAGGGCCTGGGCCAGAGCCACTTCAGATGCACCAAATCCCTAATCCAGTTGCGCATAAAATGGGGAGCATACGCGAGTGTCATGGGGGGGGGGTCCTCAGCACAAGTACAAACAGGGCAACGCATTCTCTGGGTGCGCGACCATTTTGCTTCCTTCCAAGCCTCGAAGGCCAGGGAATGGTTTTTAGCCGGCAAAGCGGGGGACCACCGGCTGCCTCTGCCTTGCCCGGTGCCCACCGTCCAACGTTAAGTAGGACGACGTTCCTCGGAGAGGCAGCGGGAAGCAGGGGCGCAGCCTGCACTTGCTGTGAATGGCGATTGTCGCTTCAGCCGAGCCTGCACCCGCACGAAGCTGGCCTTCCCGGCCCTTGCGGTGCGCCCGCCGTTCCCTCCTGAGCCGCCTGCACAATCCCGTGCTGCCTGGGAGCTGGGAGTTTTGAATTTCCGCGCTGGCTCGGCGCACTCGCGTCCTGCCTCGCCGGCCCGCGAACGCCCCCGGACGCTTCTGCGCCCTTTGTCTCCCACGATTCCCCGGGACGCGAGTCCCCCCTGCGCGCACACACACACACACCCACACACACACACGTTTAACCAGTTCGAGATTACAGGGGAGCAGGGTCCTCCCTGGGGGGGAGCCAGAGAAGGAGCTAGAAAAAAAAAGTTTGGGGGCGACTTGCAAGGGAGAAAAGTGGCCAGGCTGGGGCCTGGAGTAAGTGGTTGGGGGTGGGGGAAGACGGGAGGAAGAGGAATGAGAAGGGGGGAGAGGGAGGGACCGCCCGAGAGGAAGGAAGGGGGAGGGAAGGAGGGAGGGCCGGCGGCCGGGCCCCCCTGCGGGAGCCGCGTGCACCGCCCCGGTGGCCCGCGCGCCCCGCCGCAGCCCCTAGCGGGCCCGAGCCGGCGGCGCGGGGCTGCTCAATGGGGAGCTGCGCGAGCCATTGGCGGGCGGCGGGGAGGCCGCGCGGGCATTGGGCTACGCCAGGGGGCCGGTCCGCCTTCTGGAATGTTACTACGGCGCGCCCGGCACGTCCGTCCGCCACCGGGCCGCGAGGGCGCGCGCGCGCCTCCCCTCGCCGCTCCTGGGCTCCGCGGCCCGGCACAGCGTGTCCATCGCCTTCCCGGCTGGGCTCCAGGCGCGGGTGCGGTGCGGGATGCAGTGGCGGGGTTTGGCGGGGGAGCGGTTCTGGGCACGAGGCGCGCGCGCCCGCGCGTGAACGGACCCCCGGCGCGCGCAGGGCCTCGCCAGCCCGGGGTCACGTGGCCGCGCGGCTCCGCCCCTCCCCCGTCCCTCCCTCTCTTGCCCTCCCCCCCATCCCTCCCCCTGGCCTGCTCCATCTGGGTTTCTTTCTTTCCCTTCCTTTCTTTCTTCTTTTTTTTTTTCAATGAACACACACCGTGTGCATCTTAAAGCCACACCGCCCCATTTCACGGCTGCAGTGGGCGGCTTGCTACCGCGGGGCCCTCTGCCATTCCACCCCCCACTTTTTTTTTTTTTTTAAATAAAGAGGTGGGTGGGAGCGGTTAAAATAAATACTAAAACAGGGCAGAATCCAGGGTTTGTGGGTCTGGTGCTTGGCTCAGGGAAGGACCTCATAACTTTACAAACGCAAGAAAAACACATTCCACTTTGGCCGTTCCCCCCTTTTTTTAATGAAATAAAAAGCGTCGCTGTGTGGTGGAGACTCCCGGCCCCGCACCCAGCGCCAGAAGCCGCGCGTTTCACGCAACTTGGCCCCAGCGTGGAGCTGGCCCTGGGACTCCCTCAGGGACGTAGGGACCAACTCTCGCCGTCCGCGCGCGGTCCTGTGTCGGGTTGATTCCACTCTCCCCGACGTCATGCTGTTATTGGGACCCACGGCGCGCACGGCCGCGTTTGCACTTGGTTAAAGGCTGGTTCCACGGGGGACCGTGGCGACGGGGCAAGATGCTCGCTCCGTGTCTCCCGGCTGTTGCAAGGATCCAACAGCTTCTCCCGTGTCCTACCTAGAAGGAGCTATCCACAGGAACGTCCCTTCCCCCGCCACCTTTCCCGCGTCTGGAGTCCACTTTTGTGACACGCTGGCTGTGCCATCGTGAATTTATATATTTAGATATATATGTGATTGAAAGGCAGGGGACTGCTTTTTTTATTCAGGTGGCTTTCCTCTTTAACGTTTCTTGTTTATACCAACGCGAGGCGCTGTTTCCTGCAAAGGCTCCAGTCTTTCCACCGAGTTAGAAAAGAGGAGGGAGAGGGAACGGGGAAGAAAAAAAAAAATCTGGCACAGGCCGGCGCACTCTCCACCACCCTGTCATTATCGGTGCAGGCCTGGGAATTCCAACCGGACCTCCCAGGTTTCGCTGCCGCTGGAGGCCAAGGTGCCTGTGAAAGGGCTTTCTTGGAGGAATTTCTGAGATTGTTTAAGCGCGCCCAGAAAACAGAGAGAGCCCCCCCCCCCGCCCGGCGCCGGACCCGAGGCAGATTCTGGTGTGCGTGTGTGAGCGCGCGCGCGTGTGTATGAACGTGAGCGCGCGTAGGGGGCGACACACACACACACACAAAAAAGGGGGCCCCCGTGGAGAAGAAAAGGGACCAGCGGAGCCAGGAGGGGCGAGGGGCGCGTTCCTGGATGGCAGTGTTGCGTGCGCGGAGGCTGGCGCGCTCCGAAGCTGCCCCGGAGCCGGGATGCGCGCTCCGGGGTTGCCTACCTGGGTGGTCTCTCTACTTTGGTGAGCTGTTGCTAAGCAGCTAATAATAGTCATGTTTGCTGAGTAATTTCTGCCCTCCGCGAGCCAATCGCCGTGCAGAAACCCAAGCCATCTGACAGCCCCGGGGGCGGGAGCTCCAGCCTTTTTCTTTCGCTCGCTCGCTCCCCCTCCACCCCCTCCCCTCCTCCTCCTCCTCCTCCCCTTCTTTCTCCAAATGGAGAGAGTTCTTTTTTTTTCTCCTTCCATCTCATCTATTGAATCAAGGAGCTGCTGCGGCCGCTGCCCGCTGCACACCACACACACACGGCGGAGTCCCCAGATCCCGGAGGCAGCCGCAGAGGCGCGCGGCGCGGGGGCAGAATGGTCCCGCGGTTCGGCCAACAGCACAAGACAACAGAGCCCGGGACCGAACAGCCACCGCGAACCCAGCAGCAGCCAGAACCCGAGCAGCGCGAGCAGCAGCTTCAGGAGCCGCCAGCACCGCCACCGCCAGCAGCAGCTGCGGCTTCGGCCCGGCAGCACTGAGACCCGCCGGTGGGCACCTTCGGACTCCGCGGCGAAGGCAGCCGCTCGCGCGGACCAGGAGGCGCCGAGAGATTCGGCGCGATCGGCGGCGGGGATCTGCTGGCGCTTTTTGCAGTGAGGGGGTCGCGGCGTGGGGCGGGGGACGGATAGAGGGGACTTGGGGGACCGCGAGGCGCGCCGCCACGGAAGCACCCGCAGGACTGGCTGGCTCCGCGCACCGGTTCTCGCTCTCCCGCGAACTGGATGTGGGCATCGGTGACCGCAGAGACCTCGGGACCCCCGCGCAATGTGGCAATGGAAGGCGCAGGGTCTGAGTCCCCGGCAGCGGCAGCGGCAGCAGCGCCCGCCGTGTGAGCAGCAGCAGGAGCAGCGGCAGCAAAGGCAGCAGCAGGTCTGTCAATCGGAGCCCGAGCCCGAGCAGCCGGTGGCCAACAGCAGCGTCCTTGCAAGCCTAGCGCCCGAGCGCCCCGGGCCGCCCGGGTCCCCGTGGCCGCGCCGGCGGCGTTGGCGGCGGCAACATGGCCTCAGTTGGTAACGCCGCCGAGCTCCTGGAGGACCGCGGCGGAGGCGGCAGCGGCAGCGGCAGCGGCAGCGGGGCCCTTGGCTGGTCGGTCGGTGGCGGGAGGCGTAGACGCGTCGGGGGGCTGCGCCGCGCCACCACCGCCGCCGCCACCGTGCCGGACCCGGACTATCTGCACCGGCCCAGCTACTGCGACGCTGCCTTCGCTCTGGAGCAGATTTCCAAGGTGCATTTCCAAACTCTCTTCTCTCCCTACCCTCCTCTTCCTCCTCGGGGGGGGTCTCTGCGGCCAACACGCACACACCCCTCGGAAAAGCAGCAGACAAGTGGGGATTGAAAAAAATTCAAACCCTCCCTCTGGTGCTGGGAGGAAAAGTCTGCAGGGGGTGGAGGGGTGTGTGTGTGTGTGTGTGTGTGTGTGTGTGCATGTGTGCGCGCGCGCCCTCCCCAGCTCGCCTTTTCCGGAGCCTTGCGCCCGCGGTGTGCGGGGGGCACCACCGCGCCCCAAAGTCCCCCGGGACCCCGGAGCGCCTTCTGCTCGTGCCCCTGCATCCTGCCACATTTCTTAACATCTTGGAAGAGGGGGGTTGGCGGAGGGGAGAGGCGGGGAGAGGCAGCGGGGCGGGGGGGGGGATAGAAGGAGGGAGCCTTAATAAAGGTGGTTTCTTTTCTTGGCAGCCGGCATTGCTTTTGTTGAGCCCGAAATCTCCGCTGCCTTAAAACCTAGCCTGTCTGGGGGACATCCCTCCTCTTCCCCCGCAACTTTCCAGCCACCGCTCCTCCGAGCCTGCGGCGCGGAGGGGCCGCGGTAAACAAATTGCCACCTTAAGTGCGCGGCGCGGCTCTGCCCGGCGGCCGGGTTCATTGTGTTTACGAAGCTCGCTGCAATGTGTGGAATCCGGGGAAGGCAAGCGCCGGGACCGGAGCCCGCGGGGAGCAGCCCGCGCCAGCCCGGGCCCCGGCCCCATGTGCACTAGTACGCTTAACCACCCAGAGCTGAGAGAGAAAAAAAAAAAAAAAGTGCAAGTACCCTTTTCTGCCCCCCAAATAAGTCGCGCGCGGCTGCCGCACTGAAGTTTCTCGTTGGGCTCCTAACGCAGTGGAAAGAAACGCGTAGGAAGTGAGCTTCCCGCTGCCGCGCTCACCCACGTGGACTCCCGCCGGGGGCCGCCCGAGATACACGGACCAAGACGGCGAGCGCATCGCCGGCACCCGGCCTGGAGGGGGTGGTGGGGGTCTCGGCAGAGGTAGTTCACCGGCTTTGCGCTGTGCAGACCCAGGCTCCTACTAGCCGGGGGCGACCGTGGCTTCCCCTCCACACACACACACACACACACACATTGCCCACGCCGCATCTGCTTTGGCGTCCCTGCGTGGCACGGCCGCGAGTGGGGCTCCCTTGGCGATCGCTCCCCCCCCCACCTCAGGTGCAGCTCCCACGCTTGGCGCCTGGAGAACCCATTCCACGCCCGCTCCCTGGGTCCCCGAGAGGCCAGGGCCGCCGCTGTGAGCTTGGGCCAGTGGGCGAGCGCGCGCGTTCGTGCGTGGGCCTCCCAGTCCCTCACTCCTGCCTTTTGCTTCGTCCTCAGGGGAAGGCTACCGGCCGGAAAGCGCCGCTTTGGCTGAGAGCGAAGTTTCAGAGACTCTTGTTTAAACTGGGGTGTTACATTCAAAAGAACTGCGGCAAGTTTTTGGTCGTGGGCCTCCTCATATTCGGGGCCTTCGCGGTGGGATTAAAGGCAGCTAATCTCGAGACCAACGTGGAGGAACTCTGGGTGGAAGGTAAGAGACCCCTGCGCCGCGCGCGCCTGCTCGCGCCTGGCCGGGACCCCAGCCCTGCCCGTCGCCCCCATTGATGAAGATATTCGGCCTGCACGCACGCACCTAGGAGCCCCGCTGCGGCCGGCGAAAAGCCCCTGCCCGCGCCCGGGGGAGTTGTTTATTGTTTGCGCGCCTGGCGACCGGCCAGGCCCTCCCGACAAAGGCCGCGCTGTAATCGACTCGGCCCCGCTGGGCTCTGCTAGGTGATGTGGGAGAGAGGGGCGCGGGCGCGCCGGCGGGGAGTGCGGAATGGACGGGGAGCGGCGGTAGGGTCTTCGCAGTGCGGCCTCGCCCCATCACCCCCCACCCCCCACACACACACACCCCGACAGACCAGACCCCCACCGCCCCGCCCCCCACCCACCGCGTCCGAAGAGAAAGGGGCCGGGGGGCGAAGGGGAGGCGGGCCACCCCCTCTCCGGCTGCAAGGCTGTGCGCGCGCCCCCAGCGGCCGGGGCGGGCGGGAGGGGGGTGGGGGACGGGCGCCGCGCGGGCCTGCGGAGGCGGCGGCGTGTGTGGTCCTGTTTTTGGATGGCTTTCAACTCCCGGGGAAAAAAACATTTGTCTCAAGGTACAAAAAAAAAAAAAAAAAAAAGAGGGTAGGATGGGGGTGGGTGGCGGGGTTCGTGGGGGGAGAAGTTGAAAAGAAAAAGGATGAAGCACAGTGGAACTCGTGTTTGCAAAGTGGATTAATGTTTCCTGGCGGGTGGGGGCTGCTTCAGTGGAATGGGGGGCTAAAAAAAAAATGTTTTCAGAAAGTGGATTTAGAGGGAGGGGCAGTGCCAGTCTTTGCTCGTGCTGCCTGGATTTGGGGATTTCCTTTAAAATGCAATTGTATATTTAAAATAGGCAATATTGTTCCCAAGGACAGACACATTGTATAGCCTCAGGTGATGTGCAATTTTAATGCGCTTTTTTTCTTCTCCCTCCCCCTCCCCGCCGCCCCGTTAGTTGCTTTTTAATTATCTTTTGGAAAAGTTAATAACAAAACGTGTATATTGGGGAATGTTTTAATCCCTGAGCACAAGGTTGGGCACCTCTTTGAAGGCATGAAAGAAATATTCTAGGATAGTTGCACTTCAAAATGGAACCAGCCGTTTTGGTAAAAGCTACCAAAAAAAAAAAAAAAACACACACACACACACAAAAAACAAAAAACCAAAAAACCCCAATGGGGAAGCTGGAGTTACCTGTGCCCCAGCTTCGGGGATCCGCTGTGTGGGGCAGTGGGAAGCCAACCTTGGAGGGAGTAGGAACTTTGCAGTGTTTTTGCAAGCCTGCAGCAGACCAGTTAGCTGGGAAAAAAATGACGATTAAGATAATAGTCCAAATAATTGAGGCGGATCTAGAAAAAGTAGCCCTGTCGTTAATACAACAGTGTGTGCCTTGGGTGTGTTCCACAGGGTAATTCTTCTGTGTCACTGGCAGATCAAAGAAATCATTAGTTGAACGCCTATTAGGCCCCTAGCTACACATTTGGCCCAACACCTGGGGAATCCGTAGTGCCAGGCTGGACCCCCTAAGGAGCTCTGACCTGTGTGAGACACTGCAAGTGCAGGAGGAGTTGAGATGGGCAGGTAAGTTTCATGGAAGAGCAAGTGAGGAAGAGGAAGAGAGGCACAACCCCAGCAGAGGCGGCAAGGGGCTTCCTGCCCCTTAGGTCAACAGGTAATTTGTGAAGCACCAATGCCCATCATGGGTCATTGATGACAACTGAAGATGTATTCCTGTGGCCTTGGGTGGGACTTTGCATTGTAGACCTTGCACAAGCACTGTAACAGAGGCCATGATGTGTTACTGTTTCCTGTGAGCTCTGGGAGGAAATCCGGGAGTTGGTGTTTCCCCCACTGCACCTGCTAGCTGAAGACATACCTGGGATGGAGACACACCCCTTGGCCCTCCACTCTCCTATTTCCAGTTCTGGCAGTTCCAGAATGGTTCACTAGTTCTTGGGCCAAATGCTGTTCCCTCAATATTGGTGCTATTCTTTGTTGAGCGACTGGGGTGTACGAGGCACTCATTTTTCAGCTGTTGCCACAACACTATAAAGTGGCTGTTATCAACTTTTGTTGGTGTGAGAGTTGGTGTTAATGCATTTTAGGTATAATAACTGTTACCCCAGTTTTGCCAATGAAAACACACTTGAGTTGTCTGGGCCTCCATCTCCACCTGGCCTCTTAATGACCACTGGACTTGGTTTCCTGTTGTGTTGGCCTTTGATCTGGCATTTCTTGATTTCTGCTCAGAATGTGTGAGGTTCTTGCACTCTAGCAACAAAGCAGTTCTAGGTGTACAGGTGGGCCCAACTCCGGGAGCCCAGCACACTGTTCAGTATCAAGTGGTGGGACCTGTGTAAGAGGTCTTGCTGGTGATTCAGTGTGGTCAGTGGAGTACCGTGTGCATGTGCTTTGGGGAGTGACTTCCCCATTGTCCTAGACTTTCATCAAGGTCAGCTCCCAGTTGAGGCTCCTTCAGCGCTCCTGTCTCTTGGCTAGCACGTTGTCCCTCTCTGCAGAGGATGCTTCCTTAGATACAGGGCAGGTTCTCGATCATGAATTTGGGCCTGCACCGGGTGCTTGGCTTTGCAGATACACAGAATAGAAGTAGCATATTTCCTCATTAACACTTAACCTAGAGAGTGGAATTTGCAAAGGTACTAAAAATGGCATATATACGGGAAGGTACTCTGTTCAGCACACAGAAAAGAATTAAAAACTTTTCTTTGAAAGGTAGATTATCATAAAGAGAGAAGGAAAGGTAAGAGAGAGAGAAATCATCCGTCTGCTGGTTCACTCCCCAAATGGCCACAACAGCCAGAGCTGAGCTCATCCAAAGCTGGGAGCCAGGAGCTTTTCTCAGGTCTCCCTGGTTTGGGTGCAGGGGCCAAAGGACCTGGGCCATCCTCTGCTGCCTTCCCAGGCTATATGCAAAGAGCTGGAATGGGAAGTGGAGCAGCCAGGACTCAAACCAGCACTCCTACAGAATGCCAGCACGTGCAGGCAGAAGATTAGGTTGCTGCAACAAGGTGTCAGCCCCTAAAAGACCGATTTGATACACAAAGTACTGAAGTGACACACATGGTTTCTCATGAACTGTTCTAAGGTCCTTGGTTTATGTATGTATCCAGTTGCCTTTGCATGAATGTGTGTATGTACACATTAACTTGTCATAAGTATCCTTGAATCTGCCAGAACATTATCTTTTCAATACAGCCAGCAGAGAAAAGAGATCTCCTTGGGGGTTTCTATCTGGGATGTGCCTGTTGACCTGCTGGGGAAATGACACTTTATACAGGTGGTTCTGAATACATGAGCCGTATGTGCAGACAAGTCTATGCGCGGTAAGAATTCTTTATATGAAGAATATAAAAGGCGTTGATGATACGAGAGTCTTGACTGTGATGTTTAAAAGGGTCATACTATGATTACATTTCAAGAGGTTGTCACATCTGTATTAGATGCCATATTGGGTCTTGGGGTTATGATCCATGCAAAAGGAAGAAATGTGACAGGTCACTCATTTGGGAGTGATGAGAAGCATGTGCCATGCTCTGGTGGCCATCTGCTGTTACAGGGACAAAGGGCTGAAGCAAGGTCGGGGAGAGGCTGTCGTGTAGAAAAAATATCCTCGCTTGGCACTGCACACGGCTCCCGAGACGTGGGGGCCCTCCACGCAGCAGGCTCACAGACTCCTGTCCTCCCCACGTGTGCATGCACGCTTACAGAGAAGTGGCACCTGATGGGGATGCTGCCAGAGACTGCCTGCCTTGTTGGTGGGGTTCCTGAGAGGTAGGCTTGGAGGGCCCCCCAGGGTTCCTCCTGCCAGTAGTTGGTGGGGTTCTCTCCTCCCCCAGGCCATCAGTCACCCCTCCAGGGATCCTGCTAGAGCCTCACCTCTGTGTTCTGCAGTCCCCTCCCTTGCCTTGGTATCCACCTGCAACGCCCACAGGGCGCCCAGAGGTCTCTCTGAGCTGTTTCATTTTTGTCCAAAAGCTGGCTCACCCCTGGGCATACCTGTTCATGAAGGGTAACAACAGCCTTGAAATGCATCCCTATTGCCCATAGGAAGGAAGGAAGCAGGAAGCAAGTTACAACTTGGATCTTGCTCTAAAAGAGAATGAAAACAAGAAGTAACAGTAATAATAATATGTGTTCGGTGCCGCATATGCTCCCTAGTGTTTATTCGCTGCTCACCTGTTGGGTGGGATGACCCTCATGGTGGGAGCTGCCCTGGACCCCGGAGGATGCCAAATACATCTGGCCCTGTGCCAGCTGGGTGCCAGGATGACCGGAATGTTGTGATCAGGGCTGAGCGGTCGGGCCCGGTGGAGAGTTGGACTGGAGAGGACAAAGCTGTCTGGGTGACAGTGGAGTTGTGGTCGCCCATGCCTTGCCATGAAGTCTCCATCTTTAAGATAACCATCCCATCCCATATCCTCAGTGGAACCATTCAGGTTGCCATGTTTTCTGTGCAAGGACTTTCAACTTCCAATTTGGTGTTTCATAAAATATCCTTTGAAAGAGCAAATGTACACACACACACACTATAAGAGGGACCAAAAAAGCTAGGGAAAACCAAAAAACACTTTCTGTTGGAGCATGAGGAAGGCCATAGAAGAGGGTAGCTGATTTCACAGAAAGACCCCATGGAACCTCAGCCATTGCAGACAGGGGTCTCTTCCTGTAAAGCTTGTCCAGCCACAGTGGACACCATGGCTCCTTTCAGAGTCAGGGGGTGCCTTAGCTCTTGCGGGGACTCTGTCACAAACCACTGTGCCTCAGGCACCCCCTTGCTAGAGCAAAGCCAAGAGGTGGGCAGTAGGGGGTTGAGGCATCCTAGCCCGGGGTGCTTGCTGACCAACAGGGCTCTGGTTTGGGGATCTTTCCCAAAGGGGTGCAAAGACAGCAGAAACACATCACCTCTCTACTCTTTGGGTCCCTCTAGATTTTTTTCTTTTTTTA